AACTGCAGCCGAGCTGGCTGGCTGGCCAGCTACGCTAGCTAGCTAACCAGCTAGCTAGCTAGCTAGCCAGCTAGCTAGCTTGTCGGCTAGCTAGCCAGCTAGCTAGCTAGCTGGCGGGATTGCCGGCCTTTGCTTTTCATGAGCCTTCCCTTGACAGGAAGAACTTGAAAGCATTCAAAAAGAGACAGAAGAAGCAAATCTTGTGCTGCTGCTGCTGCTTCTGCTGCTTCTGCTGCTGCTGCTGCTGCTGCTGCTGCTTCAGCTGACTCTATAAAGAGTCTCTCCCCTTCTAATGTATCTCTTTCGTTTTGTGCGATAAAGCCTCCGCCTTTTATTTGTTTGCCAGCTTCTATTGGCAAACAAATTTAAACCCATTGGGGGCCCCCAGCAATGGCAGCGAAAAGAACGAAGCAGCAGCTGCAGCTGCTGCTGTAGCTGCTCCTGCAACTCGCGCTGCTGCTGTTGCTGCTGCTGCTGCTGCCATTGGGGCCTACAAGGCCCCTGGGGGCCTTTGTCTGGAGGTTAATAATGTCCTTTAATTATTTATTTTAATTTTAGAAAACAAATTAAATAAATAATTTATTTTATTTTATTTAAAGCTTTTAAATGAACTCAAAAGCGCAGAAAACTGGCAGCTGCTGCTGCGGCTGCTGCTGCTGCTGCTGCATGCGGTGTCGGCTCCAGCCAGTTGGGGCTTGAAGCATATTTGCAATTTCTGAATTATTCTTTATGATATTTGATTTAATTATTTTATTTTTCTTTTTATTTTTAAATTAATTTTAATAATTTTATCTCAACTAAAAAATAAAATCCCTTTTGTTGCTCTTTTCCCTCGCGAACTGCTGCAGCGCTCGTTTGCCCAAACCCCAAACCCTAAACCCTAAACCCTAAACCCTAAACGCTGAACTAGACGAATTTCAGCACAAATAGTATACACAAATAACACGCATCTATTTATGCATGCATCTAACTAACCAGCCATAGCTAGCTGTCTAGCTTGCTAGCCAGTTAACTGCCTGGCTAGCTAGCTAGCTGGCTGGCTAGCCAGCTAGCTAGCTAGCTGGCTAGCCAGCTAGCTAGCTAGCTGTTCGTCCCCGTATCTAGCTTGCAAGACAGCTAGCTACCTAGATAAGTAAGAAGCCAGAGAGCTAGTTAAACTCCATCTATTTGTATACATATATTTATATACATGCATGCATATAAATATATGTATAAATATACATATGAATATATATATTATGTATATAAATATAAAGATATTTGTATATATAATGTTTATATATACATACATATATTACATATATTGCACAAATTATATTGTATATATATATATGTACATATATATATACATACATTTTACTCCATATATCATATTTACTATGTAGTTGCGCATGCATGCATACATATATATATATATATATATATGTGTATACATATAGGTATATGTATGTACATATGTATATACACATATATATTCGTGCATGCATATAATTATATATATATTTATATTTATATTTATATTTATATGAATATTTACATGTAATATCTATATATGTGTTTACATTTGTATTTATATGTATATTTGTATGTATAGAAAGAGTTTCAAATTATTTTGTGTTGGCTTTTTATTTATTTATTTATTTGCACATTTCAGTTGCAGTCAGCACCAGCCTCAGGGCAGTCCTAGCCATCTCAGTAGCCCCACAGCTAGCTAGCTAGCTAGCTAGATTCGCAGGCAAAGTGCTAGCTAGTTAGCTAGATATCTAGCTAGCTACTTGGGTGCTTCTTGCTAGCTAGCCAGACCTGTCTAGCTAGCTAGCTGCTGCTGCTTCTTGCTAGCTAGCCAGGCCTGGCTAGCTAGCTTCTGCTGCTTTTCGCTAGCTAGCCAGGCCTGGCTAGCTAGCTGCTGCTGCTTTTTGCCAGCTAGCCAGGCCTGGCTAGCTGCGGCTGCCCCGGTTTGCCCCAGCTAGCCAGAATGAGCAGCCCCAGGTGGCCGCAGTTCGCTGCAGCTAGCCACAGCTAGCTGCAACTAGCCAAAAGTATCCCCAGCTAGCCAAAAATGGCCACAGCTAGCCAGCCACTAGTCCCTGCTAGCCATAGCTAGCCTCAGCTCGCTGCAGCTGGCTGCAGCTAGCTGCTGCAGCTAGCTGCTGCAGCTAGCTGCAGCGTTGCTGCTTGCTGCAGCAAACGAAGACTTTAAACTCAAAAGAAGGCTTAACCCAATTCTTATTCAATTTAAGAAAAGTATTTTATCAAAAAGTGCGAAATTAACTTTTTGAAAAAATGCTTTTTTGTTTTTAAATCAAACTTGCATGCGTGTTCAGGTGTATGTGCACCCCGCTGGGCAAAAGCGTTTCTTTTGCCTTTTTGTGTAACTGCTGCCGCAAATGAAAAATAAATAAATGTCAAATAAATGCAAAATCAATATAATATTCAGTATGCACATATATATGTATATATATATATGTATATATAAAATTGTGTAAGGAAGTAAACAAAGATTGATGTTGTCTGTATATATAAGGTTATATTAGCTCTATATATGTAAATATATATATATATATCCGTACATCTATATATATATCTATATATGTGTAAATATATAAATGCATATACATCCACATATATATATATCTACATATATGTAAATATATATATATCTACATGTATACATATATATATATATCTGTACATTTTATATAAAGTTATATAAGAAAGTAACACATGCATTAGCAAGGAATTGTTAAATAATTCACTTAAAAGTTTGGCTGCATGCAGCAGCAAAAAGCTGTTCTCTTGGGCTCCACATATAATTAAAATAAAAATTTAAATATGAATAAAATGTAACATAAATATAAATATACACACAATGTAAATGTGAATATACGTATAAATATAAATATGAATATAAATATAAATAAAATATAAATGTAATATAAATATTAATAGAAATATAGATACAAATATACACATAAACATAAATATAATTGTAAATATAAAGATATATATATATATATATATATATGTACATATACGTGTATAAAGGTATAAACATAAATATAAAAGCAAATATAAATATAGAGCTATAAATATGAATATAAATAAAAATATAACTTTAAACATATGAATATAAATATAAGTGCAACTATAAATATAAATAAAAACGAAATATAGACAACTGCTCTCAGGTGTATGTCCACCACTTTGTTCCTTTTAGTTCTTTTCCAGATCAGCAAATTTACCACTTTTAATTTTGTTTTTTTATTTTTAATTAAAGTACTTAATTATTTGTTGATCAATTTGTATATTAGTCTTTTATTTAACTTTTTATTTATTTATTTACCCATTTGTCTTTTGCCTTCTTAGAGGGGGGTGTGCCCATTACTGAATTTGTTTCTTTGCTTCTTTGTTTCTTTATGACACATCTTTTATTTTATTTATTTATTTATTTATTAATCATTGTTTATTTATTTATTTATTTATTTTAATTTATTTTATTTTTATTTGCTGTCACTTCCTAGGGGAGTCCGGGGCTGTCTGTGTGTCGGCAGCGTGTGGCGGTGGTGTCTGGTCAGTGGCAATTCACGAATTCAGATTTTGAATTTAAAATCATTTAAATTAAATTAAATTAAATTAAAAATAAAAAGTAAAATAATAAAACAAAATAAACAAAAAAGAAAAGAGGGAAAGCTCTGGAAGCCGCCGCTGCCGACGGGGCGGCGGCAGCCGGGCGCGGGGTGTATGTACAGCTGCTGCGCAAAGTCGAAATTGAATTTCTTCTTTTTTTTCACTTTTTTGAATTTATTTTTCTTTTCATTTTCTTTTTGTTTTCTTTTTTGACTTTAAGGCCCCAAAAAGCCGTCGCGTCGCCGCTGCATGCGCGAAAGCGGCGAAGGCTTTCGGACTTAGCAGCTTTTCGAAAAGTTCAAAGTTGAAAAGTTGAATTCGAAATTCAAAACGGAAAAAAACACAAGTCCCCGAGATCTCCAGCGCGCGCGTCCGGCCTTTTGGCCGCAAAGAAAGGCGGAAAGGGATGGAGGATTTAAAACTTCATTTTTGAAAAAATGGAAACTCAGGTGCTTCTCAGCGCCGCAGTTTCGCTGCTGCTGCTGCTGCTCGGGCTGCTGCTGCTGCAGCGCTGCAGCAGCAGCCAGCGCGCCGCAAACCCCGAGGAACTGGAGGGTTTTGAGGGGAAAAATGGAGAAGTTGAGCGCCAAATGAAGAAACTAAAACACAAAAAACAAAAGCCCAACTTCAAATCAAATGCGCATCCCCCGGAGGCGCCAAAGCACTCCTTGGACCCCCAGGTGCGTCGAGGTGTCTGTACAACTGAAATGGACTCCAGGTTCGCTGCTTCAAACTCCATTTAAACGCGAACTTCGTTTTTATTTCCATTTTAAATTAATTATTCATCTAAAGCAGCTTCAATTTGTTTAATTTGATGCACGAAATAGCCAGTTTTCCACTTTTTCTGCAAAAGTTGCAAAAGTGGAAAAGTTGCAACTTCGCGCAGCAGCTGTCGATACACCCGGCGCGCGGCCGCAGGATTTCGAGCTTTCCTCTTTTTTCTTTTTGTGCGATTTGTTTAATGAATTAATTTGTGTTTTTAATTGAATAAAACTATTTTAAATGTTCAAAACTCTGCAGCAAACACCGAATTTTCGCGAAAATGAACTTTTTGTGGATTTCGTTAAAGGAGTCAACAAACCCGTGGACTGCATCGCCGTGGCCCCGCATGCGCGTGAGTTCAAACAGAACTTTTAATCTTTTTTAAATTCGAAGTTTGTTTTTTTTTTCGATTTTTCCCTTAAATCTGAAGAGACTTATTCTTTTTTTGGTATTTCTTTTTTAGGAAACCTGAAAGCACTTTTTCTTTTTCTGATATGTCCTCTTTTTGAATCTGAAAGTAATTTTTCTTTTTCTGGAATTTCCTTTTCTTGAAATCTGAGAAAAGCTCTTTCCCGTTTCTGGATCTTTCCTTCTTCTGTGCAATTATATATTCCATTTTAATTTACAATTCGAATCAAAATAAATTTAAATTTAATTTTATTTATTTTAATCTTTTATTATTTCCGATTTTATTTTAAGGCACTATTCCGTTGCGCCTGCGCAGCAGCGATGTTTCATTTTCTTCCAACTCCCCCGACCTCCCAATTTAGTATAGCTCATTGAATTAAATTAAATTGACAAAATTAAGTAAATTAAACTGAATTAAATCAAATAAAACCAATTAATTAATTAATTAATTAATTAATTAATCAGTTTTTGCTGCAGCGCTGATAGCTGCAGCCACGGCTGACGGCAAAGTGCACGTGGCCTTAGACGGAGGCAGCACTTACTTTTTGAATTTTCGAGAAGACACTTTTTCTGCAATTGACTTTTGGAGTAAAGAAAAACAAAATCAAAATTCTGCTTTTCTCGCTGCCGCCATGGGTGAGCCCCCAGCTGTACGTACACCCCAACACTCCTGATGTACGTACATTCCAGCGCACGCGGAGCTGTACGTACACCTCAACGCTTACTGAGGTGTACGTACACCCCAACGCACACACAGCTGTACGTACACCTCAACGCACACACCAACTCTCGCGGATCTAAAGTGACACACAAACACGCAAACCCTAGGGTTTAGGGTTTGGGGTTTAGAGTGCAGGGTTTGGGGGTTTGGGGTTTGGGCTTTAGGGTTTGGGGTTTGGGGTTTAGGGTTTAGGGTTTAGGGTTTAGGGTTTGTGTATCTGCAGCCACGGAAGGACGAATGGTTTGTTTTGAAGTGAAAATTGAAAACAAGAAAGTGACGGGAATGAAAGAAGTAGGAAAACTTGAAGAGCTTTTGGTGCCCAAAAAGAATAAAGAATTAATTGGCAGAATTAAAAAAGAGAAAGGGAATAGTTTTCTACTTTTCTGCTTTTCCATTTCTTTTTCTTTCCCCCCCGAGCCTCTTTTGTGTGTCTGCGCGTACACCCGGAAAACGGGGTGTACGTACACCTCAGGAGCAGCAGCAGAGTCTTTCGTTAGCGCGTCTTTTTGAAAAGTTTGAACAACTATGACTGCATTTTTTATCGCAATTTGCACAATTAAGATGAGATTGAGCGTTTGAATTTGAAAAAGAGCGATTTAATTCATTTTAAATTACTTTTTTGTTGTTTTTGCGAACTCGGGGTGTAGATACACCGCAGCAAACACCCCCTACAAAAAGGCGTCGTCGCCCAACTGATTTCTGGAAAAGGTCCTTGGGTGGTATCTCGGGGAGATGGAGACGACACAGAGGTGAATTAAAAGATTAATTTCATTTATTTGTTTCAATTTAATTCTTTATTTCCACATATTTGTTCCATTTCCAAAAATGCGCTTTCCCGGCGCCTCCGGCGCTCGCGCCCGAGCCACCAGGTGTACGTACACCCCACCTGCTGGTGGGGTGTACGTACACCTGCTTCCTCCCGAAGCTTCTTTTTGTTTCATCACTTTCATTTTAATTCCACTTTTGCCGCCTGAGTGTCCGAAAGAAAATAAAACTTCTTTCCAACTTCTATTTTCCATCAGACACTTCAGGTGTACGTACACCCCAGCCCTTGTGGGCTAGCTAGTTCGCGTTTGGGGTGTACGTACACCTGAAATGCCGTTTTTGAATTTTTTTGCATGCGGATGGCGGAGCTGCTTGTTTCTGGGGTGTATGTACACTGGGGAGGGCGAGTTCTTGAGGATTTGTTTTGGAGTTTCTTTTATTTTATTTTTTTTCCTTTTGCAGCTTCGCGTCCACTCCTACGAAGGAGATCTCCTGGCCTCCGTCGACACCAAACAAGTCCACAACCTCCAGCTTTCCGTCAGCGGCGACGGCTGGTCTGCCGCTACGAGCTAGCCAGCTCGCTAGCTAGCTAGCTAGCCCGCTAGCTAGCTAGCTAGCCCGCTAGCTGCACAGCTAGCTAGCTAGCCCGCTAGCTAGCTAGCTAGCCAGCTAGCTACACAGCTAGCTAGCTAGCCCGCTAGCTAGCTAGCTAGCCCGATAGCTACACAGCTAGCTAGCTAGCCAGACAGCTAGCTGACCATTCAATTAGCTATTCAGCTAGGCAGCTAGCTACATGTATCGCTAACCAGCTAGGAGCAGACAGCCAAGTAGCTGGCCAGCTAGCCAGGCAGCCAGCTAGCTAGCTAGCTAGCCAGATGGTCAGCTAGCTAGCTAGCTGGCTAGCTAGCTAGCTAGCTGGCTAGCTAGCTAGCCAGCTTTACACCTGGCTAGCTAGCTAGCCAGGTGTAAACATGGACGTGCAACAGCTAGCCAGGTCGATAACTGCAGAGCTGCGATTAGCTGGCTAGCTAGCTAGCTAATTGGCTAGCTGGCTAGCTGGCTGGCTAGCTAGCTGGCTAGCTGCCTGGCTAGCTAGCTCATCAGTACTTAGCATGCGTGCCTGCAGCTCTTCACGTTTTAAACTCTAAACACTGGCCTCTAAACCCTAAACCCTAAAGACTCCCCGCCAAACCCTAAGCCCTAAAGACTCTCCACAAAACGCTAAACCCCAGGCCTCTCCGCAAAACCCCAAACCCTAAACCCTAAACCCTCGTGCGTTGTTGGTTTGCTGCAGCCTCTTCGGCTGCGCGGCGTGGGCCCCGGGAGTAAAGATTTTTGAAGTGAAGGCAAAAGGCGGAAACTTCCAAAAGGTGAACAGACACTTGGGGTGTACGTACACCTCAGCGCTCGCGGCGAAACGCGGGGTGTACGTACACCTCGGGCCCTTTGCGTTTTTGGAATTGGAGAAATAAAAATAAAACAAAAATAAGAATGAATAAAAATAAATAAAAATGAATAAAAATAAATAAAAACAAAAAAATATAGATAATAAAAATGAATGATGAAGGAATAATAAAGTTAAAAGATTGGTTGGTAAAAGACGCAGAGAGTCCAAGTCAAACGGCCAAAGAAAACCCCAAAAAGGGTTTCGGGAAGAGTTTGCTGCGGCAAAACCCTAAACCCTAGCGGCCAGTTCGAAGGCCGCAAAACCCTAAAAGAGGGCTTGAAAGCGTCGTTTGAAGCAGGGTTTTGTTTGCTGCTGCTGCTGCTGCTGCTGCTGCTGCTGCTGTTGCTGCTGCTGCTGTTGCCGCTGCTGCTGCTACTGCTGCTGCTGCTGTTGCTGCAGCTGGAAAAAGCCATGGACGTAAAAAGCTCTTCGGGCTTAATTGCTTTTTGCATTTCTGAAGATTCAAAAAGAGCTGCTGTTGTCAACAAAGGAGGAGGGGTTTCTCTTTGGCGCCTCGACGTCCGCCACCAGGCACGCAAGCCCTAAACCCTAAACCCTAAACCCTAAACCCTAGCCCGCCCCAAACCCTAAACCCTAAGCGGCCCGAAGTTCTAAACCCTAGCCGGCACTATACCCCAAAGCCTAAACCCTAATTCCTGGCAGCGGGGAGGGGCAGGGGCTCAACGGACAAGAAGTCCTGATCGATCAAAACCACGCAGGGTTTAGGGTTTAGGGTTTAGGGTTTGGGGTTCGTTCTGCAGGCCGGGGAAGACACGAAGAAAATCACAGAGACAACAGTGCCGTTGGAGTCAAGCGGCCGCACGACACTTCGTAAACCCTAAACCCTAAACCCTAATCCCTAAGCCCTAAACCCTTGTGTTCCGCAGCTGCAGAGTCCTACCGTCAGAGAACCAGCTGGCAAACTAGGGGGCTGGGGTGGAATCTTCTCCACGCGCTAGGGTTTAGGGTTTAGGGTTTAGGGTTAAGGTTTTTGTTTCAGATTTTTCCAGAGACGGGGAAATTATAATTGTGGCCACTGGAAGCACTTTGCATTTTTTCCGCGCAGCAGAACTTCAGCTGTTCAAAGTAAACCCTAAACCCTACAACCCTAAACCCCAAACCCTAAACCCTAGTTGGGTGTTTCCGGGTAAAAGGCGGATGCACTGCTGCTGCTTTGAGAACCTCTGATTTAGGGTTTTCATGCCGTGAGGTGGAGCTTTTGGATGAGGGTTTAGGGTTTGTGATTAGGGTTTATGATTAGGGCTTAGGGTTTATGATTAGGGTTTAGGGTTTGCGCTGCAGACTGTGGAGCACGTGACGAGCCAGCCGATCGAAAGTTTAATTGTTGCTCCCAACAACAAATTCATTCTCCTAAGCTCCGTAAACCCGAAACCCTAAACCCTAAACTCTAAACCCTAAACCCTAATCGCAAACCCTAAACCCTAAACTTTGATCATAGCCCCCTAGTAGAAGTCTTTGGCGATTAAGAGGCAAGACGTTTGCGGACTTGAATAAGCTTGCACAGTTTCTCCAAACCCTAAACCCTAAACCCTAGGTCCTAAACCCTAAACCCTCATTCTGCTGCGTCTGCAAATGCCTTGCAGAAAGGCCTGCGTCCCGTGATCCTGCGGCTCCCGCAATACTCTTGAATGGAATTGAAAAAGTGAAAAAGGGGAAAAAGAATTATCTGAAAACCCCGCATTTGGGGTGTACGGACAGCTCGCGCCGCTGCATGCAGCGGCTGGGGTGTATGCTGAGCTTGCATGCGAAAAGGCTTAACTTGCGACAAATTGAACTCTAAGTGTCTTTATTTATGATTAATTTGCAAAAATTGAACTCTAAATGTCTTTATTTATTTAATTAAATGCTTCCTCCCATTCAAAATGCACTTGCGCCTCCAGTGGGTCCTCGGGTGTACGTAGACTCAGGTGTACGTACACCGCAAAAGGGCTCCAAAACTTTCCACAAAAAAATAATTCTTTTTATTTTTATTGAAATCCGCATTTCCACTTTTCTTTATTTTTGTTATTCCGTAAATAAATATGAAAGAAGCAAAAAATAAAAATAAAAAATAAAATCAACTGACGCATGCAGACACAATTGAAGTGTACGTACACTGCACCCAAATATACTTGAAAGCTTCGCCCGCCATCCCTGCACCTACTCGGCCACCTGGCAAGCTAGCCCGAGGCTAGCTAGCTAGCTAGCTGGCTAGCTAGCTGGCTAGCTAGCCGGCTAGCTAGCTGGCTAGCTGGTCTGGTGGCCAGCCACGGGGTAGCCAGCTAGCCAGCCAGCTCGCGGCGATAGAGCAGACATTGGCTAGCTGGGCAGCTAGCTAGCTAGCTGGCTTGCTGGCTAGCCAGGCAGCTAGCTAGCTAGGCAGCTAGCTAGCTAGCTAGCCAGCCCGCTGCGAATGTGCAGCCACTCGAAACACCTCGCTAGGCAACTTGAGAAATAGAAAAGCTTTCTCGAAAGCTTTAAGGAAATGCTGTTAATGCAAAAGGAGCGACGCCTCTCTGCTGCTGCTGCTGCTGCTGCTGCT